CCATTGTTGCTTTTAGTCCCAGGAGTTGTATATACCACAAGATTACATCCCATTTAGTCCAGTGTTGCTGTCCCTCGTGGCGCAGTGGTTAAAACGCTGTACTGCAGCTAAAACTGTGCTCACGACCTGGGGTTCAAATCCCATTTAGTCCAGTGTTGCTGTCCCTATATTGGTAAACCTTGTGCTCCTAAGGAAGCCTATAAGGACCATGTGTAGCCTGTATAATTAAAAATTGTAAACCGCCCGGAGAGTGCTTGTAGCGCTATGGGGCGGTATATAAGTCCAATAAATAAATAAATAAATAAATAAATAAACCATGTGCTCCTAAGGAAGCCTATAAGGACAGGGGCAAACATCCTTTTCTAACAGGACCCTAAGGCAGAGCTTGGTCTATCCCAGGCCATGAAGTCTTCTAGCCCAACTTTTCTCCAGTTGAACACAGTTTAGGTGCATGTCTGGCAGATGTCGGTCTGCCACGATAGAGAATGAATGGCACATTCCTAGTGGCATGGCAAAAGGAGTGAAGATATGCCGTATCAAGTTATAGTCAACATATGATGGTGATTTTTTTAAAAAAAACTGCAATATTGGACAAATAACAAGTATTTATATGTAACTGGTTGGATGCTCTGTATATGGCAGTCAGAAGCCTAAGGTTCTGATCATTGCCTAGGAACTCAAGAGATGCGAATAGGGTGACAGTGAATTCTTACTTCAAGGATACAGTCTTCCATTTAAAGGACTGCCAGAAGACAACTTTCCTTTTGGCAGTGTATAAAAATGTCCTCCATTTAAAAGGCTGTCTGGTTAAATGATCAAGAACCACAAAGAGGGAGATCTGGGGATCTGTTGAAAACTCCCTGGGCAGCAGATAGAACAGGCAGAGAGGTCACCTGATAACAGTCTTTGTTATTCATGTGAGATACGTGTAATTCAGTTTTAAATTATTAAAAAAATCAACGCTAATATTCAATTGTACACATAAATTGCCATGTGCAGTTCTGTGCATATCCGTGTCCTCTCTTGTTTTCCTTTTGGGGAATGAGTGGCAATTCTAGGTCTGGATTACTTTGTCATCTTGGCCACTCATTTTCAAAAGTTTTGCTCTCCGCAACTATTAATTTAAGATGCTCTATTGGATAAAGCTGAGCTTCTCAGAAAACTAAGCCTGATGGCAAGGGGCATCACAAGTGGAAGACTGAACAGGGAACCTCTCAGGCATAACAGGCTGGTGTGACACAAGTCTTGTGTCTAATCGATGGATTTAGATTCTCTCCTCCCAGAAAACATTAAAGACATCTGAAGCAATGTGGTTTTAAATATACTGTAGTAGGTCTGTAGCTGAAAATGTTCCCAAAGCTCTGGTAATTGAAGAGGATTTAAAATCTAGGCCTTAACGACTCGTTTAAGGAATTTAAAGAGAAAGGGGAATACATTATTCTGTCCATAGTGGCAATTAATGTGCTCCAAGGAGGATTATTTAAAACAGAAACTACTGTACCATAGCATACTTGAAATCGCAGAGAAGCTTGTTGATGGATTCACAGCAGTTTGAGAAAAAAGGGAGAGATAGATGAAGAGAACATGACTTAGGGAACACAAGTTTAAGGAATGTCAAGCAATTGTATGAGTATTATTTTTTCGATGTATTCGTGAAGGCTTTCACGGCCAGGATCTAATGGTTGTTGTGGGTTTTTCAGGCTCTTTGGCCATGCTCTGAAGGTTGTTCTTCCTAACGTTTCGCCAGTCTCTGTGGTTGACATCTTCAGAGGACAGCACTCTGTGCTCTGGTGATGCCGGCCACAGAGACTGGCGAAACGTTAGGAAGAACAACCTTCAGAACACGGCCAAAGAGCCCAAAAAACCCACAACAACCATTATTATTTTTCCCCATTATTCTTTGCTTAAGTTTAAAGATTCTACTTCTGCCACTATTAGCCAAAGCAACTGCACCTGAAGCAGTAGTTAAACTTAAAGACTGGGCCATAAATTAGCAAATCTGAGTTTTAAAACGTGTTCATGCCTATTGGAGACATTGCATATTATTTTTTAAGTTCATACTTACAGTTGTCCTCTGTCTAGATACCTGTCTCCCTAGGACGCAGTTGGCTTTGCAATCCTCGCTGATATTTCCTGAAGGTTCTTGTTTGTTACCATTTGGGAGGATAATTTTCAGTGGAGAAAATGATACCTTCTCTTCCCAATGTGGCTCTAATCTAGATTGTGGACCTCCCAGCTACTGCTTGTAAAATACAGAGTGGAAAGATGTAATCAGTCAAGCATGTGCCTATTGCAATTTGTAACTTGACTCAGCGCTCACTAGCAGACTTTCTGCAAGCCACTATCTCTTGGCCTCTCCTATTCATTACAATCAGTATAATAACCCCACCCCACCTTGCAGGGTTCTTTGCTTGGTACTAATATAATAAAACCCAAATCCACTGAAAGTAATATCTTTATTGTGACCAACTAAAATGCCATTGATGCATGCCAGCTTTCAGGTTCTCCAGAATGTATCTCTGGGCCCATCATATAACAAAAATGGGGCCACATAATCCTCACTCACTCTAGAAAATTGTGACATAGTTCCAGTTTAGGATTGTTGTTTTTTTAAAAAATAATAATCCTGGATGAATTTATTTAAAAAGACCAGAAAAGAAAGTTTTAAACCTTTCCCACTGATATATAGATATTTACTCTACACAGCATTTAAAAAAAAAGTTATACTTGGGAGCATCCAGTGTTTTTAATATAACATTCAAGTTAGCCTTCGATGAAGCCAAGAATATTATGAGTAATATGATTCAATATAAGAATAGCTGGCATGTGGACCACCAGGCTTGTTATATACCTTTACTATTTCTGTTTGATGCTCAAAAATAGTTTATTATGTTTTCATGCCTCTGTTGGAAAAGTGGCAAAAATGTAGAAGACTAAGAATGACGCCAAAAGTTATTTTTTTAAAAAAGAAAAATCTCACCTGATTTACGGAGTTGTATGTTTTTATATTTCAAGATGGGTGAGGTGGATTTTTTAAAAGAAATAAAACAGCAAAGCTTTAAAATAAGCCCTGTGTGTTTAGATATTTCTTTATTAGTTGTTCATTGGATTTTTCTTTCTGTTTGTTTTTGAAAATAAAAAGTTTATTTGAACATTTTTTTTAAAAAAGAAAAAATTAGAGCACTGACAAACAAGTGCAACATGTCAATTCAATCTGAATTATTTGTCTGGAAAATTGCAACGAATTGCAACAAATTGCTTCAAGCTTATTAGTGACCCATCAGATAAAATTTGTATCCAAATATTCTGAAGTATGTGTACCCTTTTTAAAATTTATCCAAATAGTGAAAAAACATGGAAATCAGGAAAATAAAGGGCTCTGACCTGGGATGGGAGGTAAAACTCAGTGCCATCAACTACTGCTTGACATCCAGTGTACAAGCAAAACTCTTACTGGTTTCTTTCCCCCTTTCTCTGGTCCAGCCAGCTGAAAGCCATGCAGTTTAGACAGGTCCCATTCCTAATTTTACTGTGATCTACCCCACTTTTATAGTATTTCTATTGTTTTCCCAATGAGTATTTTTTTAAATAGCTTTTTAAATCCCCAAAGTGCAAAGCAATATTTTATGCTTTGAAGAGCCCTGATTGAACTGGAGTGCAGCATTGGATTTCCCTGCTTCACTTCAGATCAGTTTGGGAACTGACAATTACCCTCACCTTTACACTGGATTCAGAATCCAAAGCCCATCCCCTATCTCTCTATATAAACTAGTACATACAGATTTTATGCAAATCATTGTCATCTTTGGTCCTTGTTTTGATAATGCATAGCCATCCTAAATGTGGTGTACATACCATAGCATGCTGGTTTTCAAATGAGAAGTAACCAGGTAAATACAGATTCTTACTTGACTGTTCAGCTCACTGGGGTGATAACCTCAGCCTGGAGATTCTCAGTTTAATGTGCCTCATAATGTTGTTCTGAGAAGCACAGGAAGTAGGCAAACATTAATGATCACTTACCTGACCTCCCTGATGTTTAGTGACAGAAGTGAAATAAGTAAATAGTTAAACTTCCACGTTACTTACTTTCTTGTTAGCAGTGGGAATACCATCTATTTGATCAACACCAGGATAAGCTGTGGTGGACATATGGGGGAGGGGAATCCATGTTAGTGTAATGACCTTATTAGTGTCTATCAATGTGCACCAAAATGGTTGCAAACTTCATAAGCAACATTTTACAACATCAGGTTGTTAGGGGGAAGTGGGAATGTTTTTGATGTTGATCTCATATAGTATCTGCACAATGTACATGTTGCATGTCTTCAAAGCTTACATGAAAACAGTCAGCTATGAAGCTGGACGATATTAAACCTAGAAAACATGCAAATGTTTCTTGGGAAAAGCCAGCCTCTGTTGTGTTTTGTGACAATGGGTAAAGGAAAGTTGGCATCCATTGCAGGCTCAGGGCAGACTCAGCAGGAACTATCTAGAAAGTATGCAACTGGTTGTTATCACATCAAAATAGCCTCCAGCAAGTTAATGTTTAACCTTGATAAGCCCTTTATGCTGAAGGCTGTACAAACACCTTCCTTGTGTGGTAATATCACTGTCTCTCGTCAAATCAAAATTTTAGGGCCTCGGCATCTCTGTTGGGTCCAGCAACCTTGGAATTAATTTGCTCAGAAAATACTGGATAGCTGTTATCTTAATAAAAGATTTTTTAAAACTGCATTAAAAATTGAATACATTGTAACTTATATATGTACCAATAATATGTTTACCAGTAGTGGAAAGGGTGTGTATGAGGTAGCTATGAAAAGATCTGGTGCCGTGAAATCAGGGCAGTCTCGTCCATTACAGAAAATAGCCGATTCCTCCACCTCATGCTCAGACTTCTACCAGTCAGCCCACTCCTGCCTGACTCTGGTCCCCTTCCTTCCTCCACCTCATGCTCAGACTTCTACCACTCCTGCCTGCCTCTGGTTCCCTTCTTGCTGAACAACCAGCATCACACTCTGAGAGAAAATGCAGGTATGTTTGAGGGAGAAGACAGTGAATAGAAATAAATATGCCCAGTTTTGAAACAAGACATGGAAGGAAGCAAGAGCAGCTGCTTAGGAACATGTCTACTGTGGGTGCCAGCTGAATTTTTCTGCTTCTCAACTGATTTGCAAAATGAATGAATGAGGTAGCAGTAAGACAGAGTCTAAGTGAATGCCTGTATGCCAATTTCTATAGATGTATACATGTGAATGATTCCTTGTGTACATGTTTATATGTACTTCGGCTTCCTAGCCCTGCCTCTCATTGTCGGTCCATCCTCTTTTGACTACTGGGCTTTCCACACCTGTAACCATAATAAACATCAGGTACCACTGAGAAAAATGGGCATGAGACCAAGCAAAAGTGGTTACCTGCTGCTGTGGAGAAAATTAGGGAAGTATATTTAAATCTTCCCAGAATTCAAGAGACAGAGAGAGACATCTACTGGTCTATTTATTGCTTCTTCTTGTGGCCCTTTTCCAGTAATTAAAGCCAATGTTTTCCCTCCGCCCCTCCCCAAAGTGACAGTTAAGAGTGTAATTAGAGCCTAAAAACATTGAAAAGTCACCAGCATTTTAAAAAAGAAAACAATAAACAATGCGACAGAGGGGAAGGGCAACGAGGAAGAAGATGGCAGGAGTGTGGTGGCTGAGTAATGTCTGAGATAAACTGTGGGCGCACTGGTGCTGTCACGCTCTCAGCAGCCCCGAGTGTGCCAGTAGTGCGGCACAGACAGACAGCTCGAATTAATCCCAAGAGGAGCGCATGACAGCCGAGTGAAGCAGACAATTAGAATGGAGGAGGAAATGGGAAATGGCAAAGGTGTGAACATATGTCAAATTACAACTAAATGATAAATTACAATTCTGTCACCGAAATAAGCAGTAATTAAGAAAGATTTCTGCTGTGCGTGTTTGTGTGTGTGTGTGTGCATGTGCAAAAATTGAGCTAAAAACAGTGTCAAGGGGTAGAGAGAAGAATGTACAATGCCCGCCTCCTGCTCATTCAGTCATCCTTTTCCCCGTGGAGATTCGGTTTTGAATTTATTTGGTGAATTCTCTCTCTCTCTCTCTCTCTCTCTCTCTCTCTTTCTCTCTCGTGCTGAGTCTGGTTCATCCTCTTGGCCCCTGTAGGGCAGCATTATTTGTGTGCATTATAGATAGTACCTTTCTTTCCATTCCCCACCTCCTTTTTCTTCTCCTCCATGTTCCCCAGCCTGGGAGAATGACAGAGTCAGGAAAAAATGAGCAGGAAGCCAATAGTTACTGATAAAAATCTGTACTGAGGAGGTTATTAGGGAGGGGGAGAAACAGGGCCTGCTGAAGCTGCTGCACTCTAATTATTTTCAACAAGCACAGCACAGTCCAGCTGACAATTAGGAAGTGCTCCTTCATAGCTAGGGGGGATTTCAGATGCATCCTCTTCCTAATCATGATATCCACGTCCTTTTCATTTAGGCAGGAGCGCATGTGGGTGGGGCTCGATGGCAGTTTGAAACCACTTAACTGCAATTTTGAAGAACAGCTGTGTAATTACTTTGACTTGTTGGAATTCACCAGCAAATCCCAGCTTTGTATTCCAAACACCTGTACTTTGTTAACATGCCGTGATGCCATCAACATCCTTGGCTTCTTAGGTGCTGATGGACGATGATTAGGGTGGTTCAGCCCATGGATCAAGAGCAGAGCTGGGATAAGTTACCTTTTTGGCACGGCTGCTCCCAGCATTCATTTAGACAGTATAGTTGTGGGCCACGCTGGCTGACCAATACTGGAAGGTATAGTTCCTAAAACATCACTTTTCCAAGTTTTGAAGGGCCTTGGATTGATGATGCCATTAAGGCAGGAATCTGAGATAAAGTCCCTGGCTAGAAAAGAAAGGAGAGAAAGATTCCAAGGTAGCAGAGATGGTGAAGCAATTTGAAATAAACTAAATTAAAAGAGAGTGCCATTTAAAGAGGAAAAACATCTACCTACCCAATACAGATGGAACAGTATGGCAGCCGGTAAAATTTAGAACTGGACAATTGTTCTCTCAGCTTCCTGTGTGCAGCTCAACTTGTCCATGACAACCACAGCAATGCCGTTTCTTGCCTCTTTAATGGCAAAGTTGGGATTGTTTTTGAGGGTGTGTATGGCATCACACACTCTCCAGTTGAGATCATGTGGTAAATCATGCCCCTTGCTGATGATCTCAGCCTGGGTTTGGTGGTAAAAAAGACTTTATATAGAAGTCCAATTCCTTGTTCCACCTCTCAGGAGGAGTCCATGTAGAGTTCTTCTTTCTGTGGTGCTGGGAGGAAGGCGGTGTGGAGTGGTCCAGAGTTCCTCCTCGTCTTCTGGAGAATGAACCATAGCTTGTGTGTTGTTATTCTGTTTGTTGTCAACGTTGTGGAAATATACTTTGAGGTGTAGTCTGTGGGAAAAGGCCTCCAGATCACTACAGACAAATGGACAGGCCTCCCAAAGAGGCTATGTAGTAGATTAGATAGCTTATTTCCTTTCTTTTTCCTTAGGAAAATGAATTCTGTCTCATAGATTTTTTTTTCTTGGTAGTCTGTGGGAAAAGGCCTCCAGATCACCACAGAGATGTATCATCTGTGAGGGTTTGGTTTTGGACAAATGGACAGGCCTCCCAAAAGGACTGGCACTTGGCTCCATGTGTGGCTGCATAGATGTATAATATTGTGTACATCTGTGGTGTTCTTGTTGTTGACCAAGAGGCTATGTAGTAAATTAGATAGCTTATTTCCTTTCTTTTTCTTTAGGGAAATGAGTTCTGTCTCATATATTTTTTTTTTCTTGTGGTGAAGAATATTTGTGCAGTATTCAGTGCACAGGGCTGGTTCTGTATGCGTGGCTCAGAGGTCTGCGTTAATACCTGGGTGCACACTTACCTGCTATAGAGCAGCCAAACAAGGTTATGATTCCACTTTTAAAGAGGGCATGGATTGTGATTTTAAAGGAACTCATGTTCCTAAATTAATTGTACTCCCACATTTCAAGTTGTCTATGCAGGTCATAATCCTATGTTTCATATTTTAGTGAACTCAACTCAAGTGCCCATTTTCTTCTGGAGGGCCAGGACATATGGGTTCTATCACACATTGTTCCAACTGCTCAAAGCTACTTGTCGGTGACAAAGCACATGATAACAAAAACAATTTTAATATGTTGTTTCTGTCTCTGGAATGAATAAAATGCAATTGCATAGGGTTACTTCTTAAATATCTATCTGGGCATAATCCTGTCATACTTCAGTACTTTCTAGTCCTTTTGATTTCAGTAGAAAAGTTTAAACACTGGGCTAAGCCTGGCCGTGCAGCGACTCCTGGTGCCCTAATTTTCTGAAACATAAATAGTTTGCCTCATGAGAATGCAAACTGGAAGAGAGGTGAAGAGGCGTTGATCTCTTTGAATTAAACTTGAACCAGGATTCCCCATGCATCCTATTGCAACAGGTTGAAAGCTCCCACGGGCACCAACCAGATCATATGTCTCACTGTGATTAGAAGACATAAAGGTTAAAGCCTCTATTCCCCTATACTAGAATAGTGACATTTCATTGATTTGTTTTTGGACTACATCACCTATAGTTCCTTATCATTATCCATACTGGCTGGGGCTTATGGCAGATGAAGCCCCAAAATCTAATGAGCCGAAGTTTTCCCACCCCAGCCGTATCCAAAACTAGTTTGTTTTCCTGTCCGACAGCTAGTATTTATGTTTCTTTCATTTTTTTAAAAAAAAAATCAAATTCATTAGGCTAACCATGTGACTAATATGAAATCTAGTTTGGTTCTTAACAGGATCACACCAAAGGCAGCCAATCAGATGCCTCTGGAAGACCAAAATGCAGAACATGAATGCAACAGAATTCCACTCATATTCCCCAGAAATAGTTCTTCATACCTCTGAAACTGAGAGTAGCATTTGGCCATCATGACCAGCAGCCATGGAGAGGATTATCTTCCATGAGCCTGTCTAATCCCTTTTTGAGACCAGCCATGTTGGCAACTGAGAGAACATCCTGCAGGAGCTACAGCTTGACTATCTGCTGTTTGGTGGACATTTATGAACATAAGGAACTGCCTTATATTGTTCATAAAACCCAGAATGCTGTCAATTCTGACAAGCAATGTGTCTCCAAGATCTCAGAGAAGATCTTTTTCCTAGCCCTGCATGGAGATTCAGGTCTCCCATCCACATGTTAACCAGGGATGACCCTGTTTAACTTCTGAAATGAAGCAAAATGTATTCAGGGTAGATACCACATGATGGTTTGTGATTGGATCATGTCATAAAAATCTCTAGGAACCAAACTTGTCTCAGTTTCCTTGGCAGCAAATATCTAACAAACAAAAAGAAGGACAGGCTTCTCCAATGCAGAAGATTGAATGAGATCTTTCCTCCAAGAACACTGAAATAGCCAGTGAGTACAAAACTAGATGAAGGAAGCTTTGCGATTATCTCCATATAATAAATGATTTTGGAGCAGCTCTGGTGAGATGCGAAAGTTAAGAGTCTGAATAGCTTAATTAGGAAGCATGTTAAAAGCAAAAGGGTGAGAGTCATGTTAATTACATGAGACGCCTCTCCCAGCAAGGGCAGGTGGTAACCGCACTGGGCTGAGAAGGTAACACTACGCCACCCTCTTCATTAATCAAGGACATTCTTCTGTGGCTGGCTGTGCTGATTTGATGCACTTCTCTAGGCATAGAAATCACACACACACACACACAGAGAGAGAGAGAGAGAGAGAGAGAGAGAGACCACACATTTTGTCTGCATCTTGTTGATAAAGCAGTTTAATTTAATTGAACCAGATTATTCCCAAATGACAGAATAATCAGGAAATTCTTGATGTTTTAGTTTTTAAAAGTAAGATTCCAAACTGTGGTATGTACTCACTTTGCGTACTGTGTTTACCCAGACTTACAATGGTAAATCAGCATTTGGGACCACTGAGTCCTCCTTTGTCTATTTTGAGCCAATTCCTCTCTTACAGTTGTATTTTTCTAAATGAAACTTTGGAAGTTGTTTGGAATTTTCTCCCTGCAAAACCTGACATTCCAAGTCTAGCACTACCTCCCTCAGGGGTGGATTATGGCAATTTGGCTGTAAATTTGGCTCTAAAAGTAGGGGCATGAAGAGGCTGCTTTATGTGGTGGTGGTGAGTGTGTTTCATGTTGGTATGTGAGTCCCTAAATGATCAGTGGTGCTGTTATCAAGCCCCTTGTAGCACAATCCCGTGTGTTTTCCCCTTAAACATAACAGGATTTACACCCAGATAAGGAGCAGGACTGTATGACTCTTTGAAATTGTCCACTCACTTAGGGCAGAACTGTGATGTTCCCAGATTAACACTCAAGCATCATCCTGACTCAAGAAGGACCCTGTCACTCAATGTCCACCAAAAGGTGTGCTAAACTCAAAATAGGTGGACCTTTCTTAGTAGTGCATTCCAGAGCTATGGAACTGAAAGGCACTTCCCATCTCTTGGACCCACTTGTCTCATCTCTGAAGGTGGCAATTCAGATCAGGGTATCAGTGGCTGACTAGGGCAACCCTCTAGGCTAGAACTTGGAAGTGCAATTTTTGGACTGTAACTTCCAAGTTTAACAAGACAGCATAGCTGTGGGGTTGGAGGTTGTACTAAAAGAAAGTAGCTTTTTATAAGCTCTGGTAGAGGCACATGCAGGCTCACCTGATCCAACCCTTACTCAGTGATAACTCTGCCATGCATGATTAATTTACAACATTCCCAGAACCACATATGCCATTCCAAACCTGGCATATTTAACACAGCGTTGCAAACAGTTCCAAGATTCTTACCCTTGTGAACAATTCTCCCAAGAATGGAAAGTATGAAGCAGAGTGACTTCAGAAGGAGCTTTTGGATGAGCTGAGATTTAAAAGTGGCATTTATGAGAAACTGAAGGAAGGGCAAATCCACAAGGAAGAGTACAAACAAGTAACCAATTTTTATCGCAAGAAGGTCAGGGGAGCTGAAGCTCTGAATAAGCTCAAGGTTATAAAATAGGTTAAAAATGAGTAAAAGATGTTGAGTTTTTCTTTTCTTTTTTTCAGATATGTTTTGAGCAAGAGGAAGAACGAGGAAACAGCAGGTCTGCTATGTGGAGAACGTGCAAGTTGGAGATTGGATGGCATATGTTAGGGTGCTTTAGCTCTGGATTCCTGCATTGATGGGGCATTAGACTAGCTGGCCCTTGGGGTATCTTTCCACTCTACAATTCTGTAATACTGGAGTAGAGCAATTACTTCTTTGTGACTGTCACAGACCAAGGTCAACAACTGTGGTATTCCAGATGTTTTTGGACTGCAACACCTGTAAGCCATCACTATCACCTGATGCTGGCTAGGACTAGGGGAAATTGTAGGCCAAAAACTATCTAGAGGGCTACAGCTGCCCATTCCTAATCTAGGCAATAGGCTTCTATTTATGCCACTCAAAACTGCATTTACTTTTTAAGCAGCTGCATCACGCTATTGACTCCTGTTCCGCCTGTGATCCACTGAAACACCTATGTCCCTTTAGTGTGTCCAACTACAAAGTCAGGTTTCAGAACCAGTGATGTGCTGAAAATTTCTCCCCTGAGCATGTCAATCCTTTTGTTTTGATTTAATAGAAAAGGAATTCTTTTTAAAAAGAAATTGAGAGAAAGTCAAGACTTTTGTACTTGCTTTGCTCACAGGATGACTGAGGATGGATTTCTGTCTTTCGCTGTATACCCATCTCTGTGGCAGCCTCTCCTGTTTACCATACTTCAGTAAAAGCCCAGGTATGATTACTCCTTTTTTATATTGATATCTTTGATTGTTTATAGGGAGACAGAAGATTTGAGAGGCGTTGAAGCAATTATTCAAGGTTACTACCCCCTCCCCATTGGGGGGTGGTGGTTTCAAGGAATAACTCCAGCAACAGTAACTTCGTTAGCTTGCCAAGTAGCGAGATATGTACATAGCAGTAAGAAACACAGTGGATTTGAAAATTTCAGGAGTGAGACATGCCTGTGAATTTTGATCAGAATATTTGTTTATAGGTTTTTCTTGTGTGTATGTACTATGTGATGGTCCAAATAAGGGAATACCAGTAAAGTCCTTCAATCTGATCTGTGGCAATGGCTGTGCCAGGATTTGTGTCTTTCCAAATATCAGGGAATTCACCCATTTGCTTCAGTGAGGAAATTTGAACAGCAATAGCCAGAAGGGGGAATGGGGTAATACAGCATCGTGTAAGTTTGGGTGCGGTTGACCTTAAATGGAGGATTCAGGATTTTCCATGTATATCTTTGAAAGTGTGGGAGTTAGACACCTCCAACTTCCCTTCCCTTTTTCCTTTCCTTTCCAATGAGTGTCCTCTGTACTGGAGGCTAGGTGAGCAGGTGAAGCCGGAGAATACATCAAGGTGCTACTTTGTCTACCAGTTTCCTTCCTTGTATTCTAATCAAAGACGGTCATGTTGTGTAGTATATGAGGCAGCTGTATTTTTATATCAGGGACAATATACAGTGGCAACCCTAAGCTAACAAGAAACCAGAGGGGGAAGGGAAAAAAAAAACCAAGATATACTAAAACGAGGATTTGAAACTTAACTATGCAGAAGCCATATAAGAATACAAGCAACCATTGCATATGCACAAACATTCAATCATACAGTTGATTTTTTATTTGTTTGCTTGCTTTGTGTGTGTGTGTGTTTAAGCTTTGGTTTAAAAAGAGAGAGAGAATTTTTAAAAATGGAGTGAATTAAGCTGCTCAGTTTAAGCACTATACTAGCAGTACCATTCCCTCATCTAGCGGCTAAGCCAAGTGTTGTGAAGAAGCAAAGGAATATACAGCCCAATGGCCTCTCTCAGAGACCTCCTCCATTGCCGAAGCTAATGTACACTGTAGCTAACCTGGAGTTGTTTGCTCTGACCTGTGGCATACCCAGGTTGGCAGGAACAGCCCTGTTTGGGTATTTGTCCAGATCCAGTGTGTAGAACACAAGTTACGTTTTTCTAATTTTTTTCCACACATTTTTGTCATTAAAGTTAAGCTTTACTGTCAAGAGATGCCAAAAGCTGATAGATGGCTGAACCTGGTGAAAATGCATTAAGTCCCTAATGGTCAGAGATAATGACAAAATGTCACAGAGAAATTCCTGTTGTCATTTAAAATGTCTTTGGGGTGAAGTTATCTCTGATTTGTATCCTTTCCACCTAAGTACATGGTTTTAGTGCCTATTTTTTCCCTTTCTTGGCCACCGTCTTTTTTCTGTAACCTTGAGTAGCTTCTTCAGGTTTATAGTGTAGTTGCAGGGTTGCAGACAACAACAGCTTACTCTGAATGCATTCTGATAGAACAAAACTGATCCTAATGATGCAGTCATTGTCCTCTGGTTTAATCTGAATCATTTTTCTGCATAATATGTTAAAAGTAAGACTTACAGGAAAATTAAATATAATGTGCAAAATCCAGTTGTTATTCCCTACTACAATTGATCCACTGAATCAGTGAAACTTACATACGTGTCAACTCACAAAAGATCCATTGATTCTTTGGGTCTACTCTCTGTCAGATGAAAAACTGGATTTAGCCAATGCTTTGGATCCAGATTTTGATTTGAGCAAGTGACTTTTACAGAAAGATATCTCTCACTTCCTCTTTGCCATGTGAGCTTCCCCCCAAAAGGTACACACAGAAAGGCAGAGACCCCACTTAATGGTGTGAGCTTTACTGCTGTGGGAAATTGGGGATCCCCAAAGGCTGTCTAATGGTATCTTCTAAGAGAACAGTGGAAAGTATGTAGGAATGAGATGTTGTTTGTGGTCTGTGTAATTTTGACATGCGTGCAGTAAGGGGTCTGTCTAGCTTATTTCTCCATTATTTGGATTTCCCCCCTCCTGAAAATGTCTGCCTAGATATTCATATGTAAATGCATAAGTAGTTTTTGAACATAATTTTAATGCATAAAATGTATTTGACCTCAGAACATACCTTTTAGAATGCATTTTGCTGTGCTTTTTGAGCTACGGACTGTATTGCAACATCAGGAGAAGCATGAAATCCAGTGCAGGGCTAATTGGAAATGTACAAGCATCCTGAAGGAAAGAATCACATTTATAACGGAATCTACAAATACCAAGTTCTTCCAGTTCCCCTGGGATGTTTCCCTTCATCTGTCTTAAAAATATCTATAAGGACTTAGAATGAATGAATGCCCAGTTTGCAGCAGATAATTTTAAGCAACTCATATTTCCTCTTTTTTGGCACAGGAAAATGTGCTTTAAACCTTTAGGGAAATGCCCTTTAAACGTTACAGTAGCACTGGAAGGAGTAGATTTTGATGGGGTTTCATCCTATAACACTAATCTTATTTTTAAAGTCCCATGGCCAAGTGAACAGGATCAATTGTTATCTTTCTCTCATTTTTAGTCTCAGTTTCATTATGTTCCCCCTCTTGAATTCTCATCCCATCCTTGGTGCATCCCAAATTGCAAGACTATGTTTTCTGCTTTTGTTTGGTTGCTTTTTGCACTTAAGAGATTATACATGTTTTTCTACACATTTTATAATAAGTGCATTTTAAAATGATGACTATGGAAGACTTCAATAACTTTAGTAAGTATAATGAAGGCATTGAAGCTGTTGAAAGATTTTGTGTACATTGGTTTAATCATTAACTGAAATGGAAACTGAAAATGATAAATCAGAAGGAAATTGAGACTTGGAAGAGCAACCATGAAGAAACTAGAAAAATCCTTAAGAAGAAACATATGTTTCTGGAGACCAGAGTCAGGATCATCTTAGGGTGTAACTACACAGCAAAGGAAATGCAAATTTATTTGCTATGAAGTTGTACCAGAGAATTCAGGTTTCTCCAGGTCTGTTCAAGTTAACTGGCCAAACAAGGAGAGGAGGAAATTGGCTAAATGACCTTGTTTGCAACTTGTTTATGTAGCTCTCCAGTAGATATGTAGGGGTGCAGTGCCAGAATAACTATTTAATAAGCTGTAAACAGATGTGTGTGTGGTTATTGTTTCCTCATCTCCTCTCTCTGTGTGTGTGTTTAGGTGCCCTAACACAACAGTGCTGGGATGAAACTATTTTTGAGGGAATAGCATTATTATCTCTGCCCCACCTTAAGGAAATGATGGAAAGGAAAGCAAAACCATGTGCTCTCTAAAATCTTGAAAGGTGAGGTATTTGGCTGAAAGAAACAGAAGAGATCATAAACACTATTGCAGGGCTTTCCAGCCAATGTCACCAGTAAATCTGCAGCTGGCAGTGGAAGCCATTGCAATGCAGATATTTTGAGCCAAATGGAAGTTAAATAATAAAATACAATAACAAAAGGCATTCAAGAGAAAATTAGACCCATATGCATTGATCTAGATTTGTGCATTGAGCATAGGGCTAGACTCGATATGCCCCTTCCAACTCCCTTATTCTATGCTTCCATGAAAATAGAAATGGGCTGGGAGTAGTAGACATGCCAACCACCATCACACACTTTTCTACATCATTTTAAGCCATCAGATGACCTGAACCAATGAAAATGGATCTTTTTTTTTAAAAGTAGAAGCCCCAGCAACAGAGGCAAAAACTTCAGACTGGGAAAAACTCCAGGTTGATTTACACTGGCTTTTACATTATGCGGGCAATGGGAAAAATGAGTGAATCAGTCCATTAAAACCTGGAGCATTTTCTACCTTTTTCCCCCAATGTGGTCACACCCTCTGACTTTGATATTCTCAGTTATAACATATGAATGTGGAAGCTGGACAATGAAGAAAGCTGAGGAGGGAGGAATGATTCATTTGATGTGTGGTGTTTGATGGACACCACAGTCTACTGAAAAAAACAAGTAGATTCGAGATCAAATCAAGCCTGAACTCTCACTAAAAATAACTGAACTCAGAATTTGTATTTGGTTCATCTTGTTAGGTCCTCATGTTTCCTCTAGAATTAGTACTTGGAATAATAAGAACAGAAAAGGTATGTACATGAGATATGTATGAATTATCATAAGTGAAGAATTCATAATTCATTCAGTATCACTTAGGATTTGCAGTTCATTTCCAGGCTTAATTTTATATTTAAACATGTGTGGGTGTGTAGGTGTATTTTTTAAAAAAACAGCATCAAACAAAAATAGAGCAGCAATTTTCTTAATTTGAAAACTTAAGCATTTCTAATGGCATATTTTTTGGGCAATCTGAAGATTGTTTCCTCCCTGAGTGTATCCCCCCCCCTTGCTGTAGCTTCTGAACATATTAATGAATAGGCAAGCATAAAAATATCTCCTTTAAAAGCCACCTCTAAAGCTAGATGAAGTGTGCAGAGAAACTAGGTCAGTAAGGTGTGTGTGTGTGCGCGCTTAATGAATACCTCTAAGATCCATGTATAGGAAATGAAATTCAAGTTTAAATTCAAATAGTCACGCACGAGCATTGTACCAATGTGTCCTCACAGCTTCTCCAGACAGAAACCGGTTGTAAAGCATTCCCTTTTCCAGTCTCCTTCTCCAATACTCAAAATGGACCCAGAAGAGAGACGAGGGCCTCAGTGTATCTTGTGAACTTTTGCTGGACCAAGCTCCATGACATGGAAATTAGGGCATCAGAGCATCAGAACAGAATGTGGGAGATGAGGTTTGAGTCCCCACTGAGCCAGGAAACTCACAGGATGATGAGAACATTCATAAATAAATAATAGGTCCCATCAACCTCAGCCAGTATTCAGGAATACTGGGATATGGAGTCTAACAATACAAAGAAGTTTCCCCACACTTGGT